TCCCCCCCCCAAGTTTGTTAAATGCATTTCTCCCCGACCCAGGTTTTACCACCTTCCTTTGCCACAGTTGTTCAGCAAGTCACCGCAATGGTTAAAGGAGGGAAAAGATGGTTAAGTGAACCCAGCATGCCCTTTGCTTGTCAGAAGGTCGCAAAGAGGGGACCCCTGACCCTGCAAACGTCATAAAGGTGAGTCGGTTGCCAAGCACCCAAATTTTGATAAAGTGACAATGGGGATGCTGCGATGGTCATAAGTGTGAAAAGCAGTCACAAATCACTCTGAGATGTTACTTTGGTCACTAAATAAACTGTAGTAAGTCAAGGACTACCTGTATTCTTATCTACCAATTTGGAGCCATGCTGGACAAGAGAAATGAGGTGAGCAATTGTGTTGTTCCCAGTGTGCTTTTCTTGGGAGAACTGGAAAACCTTTCCCAAAGGAGACAGGTGTGTCTGTAAATTGTGGCCCTAAATCAGGAAGGCATCCATTCTGACTTTTTTGACACAACCTGCACAGGGAGGACTTCTTATGGATACCACGGGAACCTATTATGGATACCACACAACCTAGGAGGTTTTGTCATGATCTGCAAGGGTGAGAGGTGGTTTTACTTATGTACACACTGAGAATGACCCACCTATCCCTAATGGCAGAGGAACCCACAATCTGTCTCTTTCCCCTGCCAGCATTGCTCCACTTTGGAGGTGAAAAGAGGTCAGCCTTTGTCCCAGTATCCTGCTGCCTCCTGCCAAAGGGCACATTGCAAAGAAAATACCCATTAAATTGGCCAAAGTGTCTGTCTCTGAGGATTGTATCATGGCACTTTTCCTTTTCCCCTGATTTCCCCAGCAGTTTTTATCCAAATGCAAATGTGTAGTAAAAATGAGAGTTGGAAAGGCTGTTGTAGCCCTCCAGTCTTCCCTATTAAATCCGACCTCTATTAAATCCAGGTGATCCAAATTAAGACTTCCCTGATATGGATGCTTGTCCGGCTCTGCTTAAGTACATCCAGAGAGAAGCTTTCTTTTCTAAGAATTACTCCCAATATTGAACTACTCCTACAGGTGGGAAGCTTTCTTTTTTCAGATTAGATTAGATTAAACTTTATTGGCATATATATTATACCCACACACACAGATATACAAAATATATAACTATGGATATACAGAATATCTGTGAATATACATATATACATGCATACATACATACATACATACATACATACATACATACATACATATATAGAAGGAATATATACAACTGTACAGAGTGTTTATGAACATATTGAATATAAGTATAATGCACAAAGTTTATACAAGATAAATATTATCAGGGGAAGTATCAGTGTGTGGGGGGGTAGATGAGTTGAGGATTTCAGTAAGGAGACCGCTGTGTGGTAGAAGCTGTTCCTTAGTCTCCTGGTCTTGGACTGCAGGCACCTGAACCTCTTCCCAGATGGAAGAAGGGTAAACAGTTTATGGGCTGGATGGGAAGAGTCCTTAACGATGCTGTGGGCTTTTCGCAGACATCGTTTCCTCTGAATGTCCACAATGGCAGTTTTTTACTACCTCTGTAATGCCTTTTCTTTAATGGTGCAATTTCCATAACAAACTGAGATACAGCTGGCTAGGATGCTCTCAACTGCACATGCTCTCAACTGCCCATGTTATTTAGAGTTTGCAGTAGTTGAATCATTCTAGATATTTTGGTTTGAGAGAAGCAAAACAAGCCAGGATTCTTTCTTCCCGTGATTCATTCCTTCAATTTATATAGCCACCCATCTCAATTACAGTGACTGTGTTACAAAGTTAAAAATCCAAAAAGTGATGCAAAAATCCAGCTAAAACTTATTACAAGCAATAATATTGATCAAAATTATTAAAAAAATAGTCAGCAGTGGAATACTATTCATTTCCTAAAAGTACAATTACTTAGCAAGTCACTGGATCTCTAGCCTTTTCTAGAAGATCAAAAAGGTCAGAGGAGCTACTCTCACCTCTGGAGGGCAGGTGACTCAGCAGAAAAAGGTCTTTTCCTGACACTCATCATATATCCTTCCTTTCTGGACAGGACCCATAGCATGCCCTTCCTGGCAGACCTGATAAGACAGGTTGATGTGATTGGAGAGAAATGGTGGACCCTCAGATACCCTGCCTTCATGCCAGGTACTTGTAAGATGCTGGATTCAGGTAGTCCTCAACATGACTATAATTGGTACCAGGGTTTCTGTTGATAAGCAAGGTGGTTTTTAAGCCTCATTTCACCTTTTTTTTTTTTAAACCATGATTAAGCACATGAGGTGGCTGGATGGAGTCACTGAAGCAGTAGGTGTGAGCTTAAAAGGACTCCAGAAGATGGTAGAGGACAGGAAGGCCTGGAGGAACATTGTTCATGGGGTCACATGGGTCGGACACGATTTTGTGACTGACAACAACAAAGCAAATCATTGTACTTTATATGTGATTCATATGATTATTAAGTGAGTTCTGTTTTTGACTTTGCTTGTCAGAAACTTCCCCAGAAGGCAACAAATGGTGATGTGTAACCCTGGGATGCTGCAACTATTATAAATATATGCTAGGTTGAAAGCAGACAAAGTTTAATCACATGACCATGAGGATGCTACAACAGTTATAAAGTGTGGGGACTGGTAAGTCATTTTTTTTTCAATCCAGTTGTAATTTTGAATGGTCACTAAATGTTGGTTGTAAGTCAAGGGGCTGCCTGTATTCCCTTACCCCCTCATATTTTTGAAGGTTGATTAGCATTTGCTATTCCTGTCATGTACATCGCTCGTAATTGAGAATTTAAATGTGTGAAAATAAGAGGATGGGAGAGGCTGCATTAACTGTCAGAACATTAGGTTATCAAAACTGAGATAAACAGGCTGATTTCAGCTTTGCCAGAAAGTTGAACACTTCTATTCAGAATCGATTAAAGATACAACCTTGAATGCTTACCTGTTAAAAATCAGCTGAGGTACTCAGTATAATGGAAAATGCCCTTGGAAGGCAGTCTGTAATGGTGCAAAGACATGTTACTAGCTTTTCAGGTGACCTGCTCCTGAATATATTGTTATCAGCTGGGTGCTCAGTTCTAAAGTAATGTTTCCCCTTTGTATCCAAGGGACAAATCATGAAGTATGTGAAGAAAGATTGAGCTAACGTCAGTGGTGATTTGGTTACCTCTAAATATGCTGTTGGACTGGCTCTTTGGTCTAGTTCTGGATCTCATTGCCTGTTTTCAAGCATTAGTTTGGCTTCTGAAGACCTTTTTATTTCTGAAATTGACCAGCCTAGATCCAGTTTAAAAGCTGTAACTAAAACTAATTGCTGAGCTCTTGCAGTTTTGAAGCCCATGTGCAAAAAAGATTGCTTTTCCCAGTAATCACAGCCCCCAGGGAGTCTTTGGCTGCTCACTTTGTCCCTTTGTGTAACAGTGTTTACATCTCTCCTGCTGATTCCCCATAGCAAAATTTCTTTTTCAAACTCCAGATTTCAAACAACACTTATTCAATGGATGCATATTAGCTGTGCATATCTACATAGCTAAGTGCTAGTTAAGATATATACAGAAACCTCTTTGCTGCCATCCTGTAGCAGAATAATGGACCAATAGATTTGGAGTTATAAGGAATTTAGAAGAGCTAAACACTATTTTAAAAAAATCATGGATGCAATAATCAAAATGTTTTACAAGCTACCTGGAAGCGACTTTTTGATTGATCATGTTTGGTGGTTCTCTTCTATCCCTTCCTATTAAATTAACTTGTGCATTAAAGTTGTAAGAGTAGCAGCCATTGAGGATCTGCTCCAGACTATAGTTAAGCATGGGGCAGTGTGATAACCTGCCTACTTTGACATGAAAAGGAAGCATGGAAAGGCAACTATATAGACCCAATCTAAGATAATCAAATTTAAACATAGTAATGCAAAATTAAACGTCTTAAAAGGCTATTTACAGTGAAAAGACTTTTACTCAGCATTGGTAGAGATTGAAGGCTGCTGCAACGGCATTAAAAAGAAAGGCTAGCCCACTCATCCCTTAAAGAAACATTGGACTAAATTGGACTAAAAGTGCACGTTTTATTTATTTTCCTCAAGGTTATCACTTGAACATCTGTCACTGCTGTTAATTTGTGGAATGGAAGCATACTGTTGCCTGTTGGGGCATGGCAGCATCTTCTCTTAAAGGGTCCTCACAATCTGAAATAATAGCATTTTACTATGTATCAACAATTGCACTGTTTGCAAAGAATTTTATTCCTTTATCTATATATATAAAAGTGAAATACTACTCATGCATCATCACAAAATCTCCAGAACCGTAAAGCCTACAAAACTTGAAATTTGTCACATAGGTTTGTTTCTCTTGGCTTCTAAGAAAGGATTGTATTAGTATTTTGTATATTATTAACACGCTCTGATGCTAAGGAGTTCTACTCCCCCTCCCCACCTGAAAAGTAATCTGCTCCAAATGCAAAACACAAGCAGAGGAGAGGAGTTTCAGTTTGAGAGCATCAAGCAGCTTTAGTACAGAACAGTTGAGCTAAGTCACGCCCAGGCTCCTTGCTGTCTCCTTGCTGTCTCCTTGCTCACACAGCAAATACTGTTTCAGTTTCCAAATAGCCCTCAATTCTCTCACACACTGACTGGACGCTAGCAAGATGGATACCGATGGATGCTGGTAGGCAAAGGCCACAATTCCTCCCCCCCCCCAATTATTTTCCTCCTCAGAAACTAAGCCAGATCACATAGTTTTGTAGCAAAGCATGGGTATAGAGCTATGTGGTAATATTCTTAGTATTGGACATCCAGGTCTCTGGAAGTGGGACAATCTTTTATGGTAGTTTGGCCATAAATATGGATTTAAATCCCTTTGAAAAAACCCAGAAAGTACTAGGCTAAAGTAAATCCTTTAGCTGCTACAAATATGGAAGGTTTATACTGAATCATATTGGAGGCATCATACATGTTTAATTTGTCATAACTTTGTATTCACATACAATCAATGGAGTTAGGTTGCTTAGTCAAATTAAATGAAACTTTGCTGGTATATTAATCTTGTAGAGATACTGGATAATAACACGGAAAAGATGAGTAACAGTTGAACCAAATGGTTTATGTGTTGTGGCATTTTATTTTTTATTTTGGGGGGGGTGGGTTATTCATGAAAGCTTTGTACTTTTTGAAGATAGATAATTGTTGCATTTTAGTATGGTACATAAAGATATGACATGTATGCCTCTATCCCTTCAGAGCTATACAGGTACAGATTTTATGACATTTTTTGTAGTGTCATTAACCAAATGCCATGGTTATTAAGCAATCAATAGTTTGCTAAGGGTGCAGATTTGTGGAAAGCCAGAAGTTAATGCTGATTTTCAACCATCATAAAATGCAGTCATGACTGCAAAGATAAAGGTTCCCCTCACTCATACATGCTAGTCGTTTCTGGCTCTAGGGGGCAGTGCTCATCTCCGTTACAATGCTGAAGACGTCTCTGTGGTCATGTGGCTAGCATGACTAAATGCTAAAGGCTCATGGAATGCTGTTACTTCCCACCAAAGTGGTCCTTATTTTTCTGCTTGCATTTTTACATGCTTTTGAACTGCTAGGTTGGCAGAAGCTGGGACAAGTAATGGAAGCTCACTCCATTACGCGATGCTAGGGATTCGAACTGCTGACCTTTCTGATTGACAAGCTCAGTGTCTTAGCCACTGAGCCACCGTGTCCCTATGACCATAAGACACTGCAAAAGACCATAAAAATGACCTGACTGCCAAGGGACCAAAATTCAGTCCTGTCCCTGTAGTGGGAGTCTGACCATCCAGGTTGTAAATGGCTCTCAGGTAGATGTGTGATAACTTCCAATAGTGGCTAAGCAACTGTTCTTAAGTCCAAGATTACCTAAAGAGGGGTTTGTTGGTGAAATATATAGGTGAAACTCGAAAATATGTGCAAAAGTTCATTTATTTCAGTAATGCAACTTAAAAGGTGAATCTAATATATGAGATAGACTCATTACAAGCAAAGCAAGATAATTCAAGCCATGATTTGTCATAATTGAGATTATTATGGTTTACAGCTCATGAAAACCCCAAATCCACAATCTCAGAAAATTAGAATATTGTGAAAAGGTTCAATATTCTAGGCTCAAAGTGTCCCAATCTAATCAGCTGATTAAGCCATAACACCTGCAAAGGGTTCCTGAGCCTTTAAATGGTCTCTCAGTCAGGTTCAGTAGGAAGCACAATCATGGGAAAGAGTGCTGACCTGACAGTTGTGTAGAAAACCATCATTGACACCCTCCATAAGGAGGGAAAGCCTCAAAAGGTAATTGCAAAAGAAGTTGGATGTTCCCAAAGTGCTGTATCAAAGCAAAATTAATAGAAAGTTATGTGGAAGGGAAAAGTGTGGAAGAAAAAGGTGCACAAGCAGCAGGGATGACCGCAGCCTGGAGAGGACTGTCAGGAAAAGGCCATTCAAAAGTGTTGGGGACTTTTACAAGGAGTGGACTGAGGCTGGAGTCAGTCCATCAAGAGCCACCACACACAGTCGGATCCTGGACATGGGCTTCAAATGTCGTATTTCTCTTGTCAAGCCGCTCCTGAACAACAAACAATGTCAGAAGCGTCTTACCTGGACTAAAGAAAAACAGAACTGGTTTGTTGCTCATTAAGTCCAGGGTCAACACAGCCGTCTACCAGGAGATTTTGGAGCACTTCATGCTTTCTTCCGCAGACAAGCTTTATGGGGATGCTGACTTCATTTTCCAGCAGGGCTTGGCACCTGCCCACACTGCCAAAAGCACCAAAACCTGGTTCAGTGACCGTGGGATTACTGTGCTTGATTGGCCAGCAAACTCGCCTGACCTGAACCCCATAGAGAATCTATGGGACATTGCCAAGAGAAAGATGAGAGACATGAGACCAAACAATGCAGAAGAGCTGAAGGCCACTATTGAAGCATCCTGGTCTTCCATAACACCTCAGCAGTGCCACAGGCCATGCCACATTGAAGTAATAATTGCTGCAAAAGGGGCCCAAACCAAGTACTGAGTACTTATACATGCTTATACTTTTCAGAGGTCCGATATTATTCTATGTACAATCCTTGTTTTATTGATTGCATGTAATATTCTAATTTTCTGAGGTTGCGGATTTGGGGTT